GTGGGGTGGCCTGTGGGGTGGGGTGGCCTGTGGTGTGGGGTGGCCTGTGCTATGGGGTGGCCTGTGCTATGGGGTGGCCTGTGCTATGGGGTGGCATGATTCTGGGCTGTGGAAGATGGCGGTAGATGTAGACTGGGGTAGAGGCTGTGGATTCTGACACCAGGGAGTGGTTTAGGTCTGGGCAGTGTGGCTACTACTTAAAACCTCATTTTTCTGGGCTTAATGTCTCTTTCCCTCTCCTCCTCTAGGTTCTGGGCAGTGAAGGCTGTTTGGGAGGTAGAAGGACCAGCAGGCCAGCTTGTAGGCAGTGGGGATTATCTGGGCAGGTAGCCTAGGACTTAAGAGGCTCACTCTGAGCTTGGGCAGGGTCCTTATCTTTCTGATGTCTCCTTTATCTCTATGACCCAGAAATCTTGTCAGTGAGCTCCATCTTGGTCCAAATGCCTATAAAGTCCATATACTGCTCCAGGGCTGGCTGTAAGGCCTTGTCTGACCCAGTCAGCTGGTCTGTGTCATGTCCACGGAGGCCAGGCTGGAAGCATCCTCCTCAACCCATTTTACAGGAGAGGAAACTGAGGCAGCCGCAGCACCATCTTCTCTTAGGCCCTGAGTAGGGCCTGGCCACATCCTTCTCACCCTACATTGGGATCTGGGGTCTGGAAGTCCAGCAGGAACGATGGCTGAGGCCAGTGTCTCCTCATGTTCCTCAGCAGAAGAAAAAATGGCAGCCAAACAGCCTCCTCCGCTCATGAAGAAGCACAGCCAGACAGATCTTGTGAGCCGCCTGAAGACCAGAAAGATCCTGGGCGTGGGCGGGGAGGATGATGATGGTGAAGTACACCGGTCAAAGGTGAGCCATGCTAGGAAGAGGAGCCTCGAGCCTATGACCTCCCTGTGCTTCTCGGACCCTCTGCAGTGTCAGAGGAATGATGTGGCTAGTGGCACAAGTTTTGGGGCAAGAACCCAGTGCTTCTTAGGGTACAGACATAGACTGTCTTAGAGCCCTGCAGGTTATCCATGTGGTTATTGACCCACTGTACAGACGAGGAAGCTAAGACTCACTCAGAGGGGCTAAGTAACTTCCTTAAGGTTCTATCAGTAACACAGAACCAGGCTTCCAGTCCATGGTGGGCAGACCCTAGGCTTTCTTTCCTAACTAGCTCTTTTCAGCTTCTCTTGTCTGGCTGCCAAGGGAGGCAGGAGAGGTTGAGCTTGCATTGGGGAAACCTCCATGTCAATCAGGGATGCTCTGATGGGCCCTAGATGTACACAGGACCTGGAGGAAGGTGAATAGGTGAGATGCTGAAGGCTGTCTTCCCTGATGCCTCTGACTTGTGTGTCCACAGATCAGCCAGGTTTTGGGCAACGAGATAAAGTTTGCTGTGCGGGAGCCTCTGGGGCTCAGGTGAGCAGCAGGTCTTGTTTCGGTAGAGTTTTGGGTCCCGGATGTGTGTAAGGTCCGACATGACTGGGCTCTGAATCACATCCAGGCTGTTCACGCCTCCTCCAGTAGCCTGGCTGTTTGGGCTGCACGGGGTGCCTCCTCCTGGGGTCTGGGTTGACAGTGGGGGTCAGGGTGAGTGTGGCTGTAACTGTCCTCTCTGAACCTCCCCCAGGGTCTGGCAGTTTCTCTCTGCTATGCTGTTCTCCAGTGTGGCCATCATGGTGAGTCCTGTGTGTCCCTGCCCAGGCTGCAAGCAGGTCCTGTGCTTGTCAGCTAGTGGCACCTCAGATTTAGACCTAGATGGAGGGGGGAGATGGTTGGGTGTGGCCCTTTGCCTCCCCTGAGATGCTCGTCCATGCCATCCCTAGCTGTTGCTGTCTCCATTCTGAAGCCCATCCTTCAGGGTCTCGGCTAGCTCCTGGACATCCTGCCTATTACTAGTGCCCCAAAGCAACCATCACACATTCTCCGGGCTCCGGGACCCCAGCATCAGACGCTGTCCTAGTATTCGTCTTAGCTTGTAGCTGACCCTGTGCTCCTCTGCTGCCCACAGGCCCTTGCCCTCCCTGACCAGCTCTATGATGCAGTTTTTGATGGGGCCGAGGTCACGAGCAAGACCCCCATCCGCCTCTACGGTGGCGCCCTCCTTAGTGAGTATTGCTGGGCCAACAGTGGGAGAGTGGGGGGGGCCCAGCTGGCCCCAAGGCCACTCCTGGACTCCTGGGGAATCCTGGGAGAGCCTCCCTTTCTTCTCCAGCAGGCTGGGCTCCTTCATCTGTGGCTGTGCTGCCACTGTGTGGCCATTGTTAGAACACATGTAGTTGGTTCACTGGCAAAGAAGTACAGAGGTGAAAGAAGCTCAGGTCCTGCCTACCAGGGTCTCCAGACTGCCTCTCCCACTCCATCTTTATCCCCAAGGCATTGGTCCTTTTGGTTTCTCTAATCTGAGGGCACAACAGGTGATAGGAAGCCATATTATAGTTCAACACAAGTGACAGCATTTGGCTCCCTAAACCTTGTATGGCTCACCATTGTGTGCAGACCAGAGTCTGGCATTTATGTCTGTCATTCAAGGCCCACGTTGGGTACTTCAGGGGATCCACCCTCTCTTCCCATACCCACTTCCTCTGTGTTCTATGTGGGGTCTCAATGGCAGCCGCACTAGAAGATGCCCACTCTTCAGTTTCAGAAGACCACAGGGCCTTTCACACAAAGCTTCTCCATCCAGTCTTAGGGCAGTTGGGCCTAAGCTTGCTGTGAGCAAGGTGGTAGTGGAGGTCTGCCAGGGTGGCTGTCATCAAATGAACACACTCTGGCCACTTCTCTGGTGTCCAGAGATTAGACACTGAGAGGTTAGCCATGGTAGCTGTCCTTCCACTGAAATCAAGGCCTGCCCTGCTCTCTCTCCCAGGGGAATTACTTAGAGTAAGTCCTTCCTTGGCACAAGTTTCCTGTCTCCAGGGGATCCTCTCTTAAGACACACTAAGTTGTAGGCCCAGGAAACTAAGTTCCCAGACTTCTCCACATAGACTCACAAGGACAGAGCTAGCTTGGGGCTGGAGGCCCTCGCTCCATTGTGTAGATGAAGATACCGAGTCTTGGGGAGATGAGCACTCTGCCCATGTTGGACTAGGGCTTTAGAGGCAATGTGAGCTGCCTCGGGGGAACGCTGGATCTGCAGAGCCGAGGACTGGAAGAGTGGCCATCTGAGCTGAGGAGTGGAATAGGTAGGCTCAGACTCCTGGGCTAAGGGTCAAGCTGCCCCTGTGCTTGATCCCAACAGGCATCTCTCTGATCATGTGGAACGCACTCTACACAGCTGAGAAGGTCATCATCCGCTGGACTCTGCTCACAGAGGCCTGCTACTTCGGGGTACAGTCCTTGGGTGAGTGGTGTAGGGTGGGAAGGCTAGCAGGGTGCAGGAGGAAGAGGGTGGAGCACTGGGTACTCCTGCAACATAGACACCAGTGTCCTGAATCCACAGTCCAGCACACTCAGGGTGGTGCACTTCTAGGCACCTGCCACTTGGGGGCAGCAGACTAGGGATAATGTCGGCTGGCCTAGGCTCCTGTTAAACTTCTGGAGCTCAGCCAGCGGCGGAAGCACTGCCACCCCCCACCCCACCCCCCACAGGGATGGTGGAGGGTGTTCAGCATAGCCTCATGATGGGAGAGAGTCAAGCACGTGTCTTCTCCTGACCTTTGATTCCCCCAACTTCCTTCACAGTGGTCACTGGCACGCTTGCTGAGACCGGCCTCATGTCCCTGGGGACCCTGCTGCTCCTGGCCAGCCGCCTCCTCTTTGTTATTGTCAGCATCTACTACTATTACCAAGTCGGCCGGAAACCCAAGAAAGTGTAGCGGGCTGGGACCTGCCTGGGCCTGGACCTGGGCCAGAGCGGCTGGGGACTTCACTGTCCCTGGGTCCCAGGCAGGCCTGCAGGCAGGCAGGGTGCACGCACCTTCCTTCCCTCCCGGGCACTCCATGGAGTCAGCTTGGATCTCCTGGGATTCTAGGAGTGACAAACCAGACTGTGGCCTCGGCACCCCACCCCTCACCCCGTACAGGGACAACTCCTTGCCCTGTCTTTCTCGGCCTCTAGACTCAAACAGGCACAGTCTAGAGTAGAGTTTTGGGGTCTGGGCTGAGTCAAGGTTAGTTTCTCTGCCAGGAAGCCCTTTCTAGGAGGTTGTATCAGGCCCAGCAGCAGCTCTCAGCTTCTCCCCACCCAAAAACCCAGTGTGTGAGTCCATCACACACACACACACACACACACACACACACACACACACACACACACGCGTGTTTCTAGAGACCCAATTGAGGTCATCTAGCAAGGGGAGTGACTACTTCCCTTAGGCCAAGTTCCCCACCCCCAGCCTGCACATCTGACTCTCCCTTTGGCCTGCTGTAGGGTGTTCTGATTCTCTGGCTGGCTGGCTGCATCCCAGAGCCCAGTAGTCCCTTCTCAACAGGCCAGGGCTAGACAATATACCACAGGCCTGACAGTCCCTGGCACCTGGCTGTCCATAGACTCCTAGTGCATGAGGAATTATGAGGAGAAGCAAAGTGGGGACATTTCCTTGGCATGGCCTCCACGGCCTGCATGGCTACACCTGGCTCAGTGCCTCCTTCAGATCCCCTCCTGAGGCTGCCCCAAGGCCTACGGGTTAAAGCCAACAGCCCCTCACACTCAACAACAGAACGAGACAGAAATGAGTCTACCATCCCTTAGCAGCCTCTAGTGGGCCCCTAGAGCTGACGACACACCCCTGTGCCACCAGCCTGTGTGGCTCCTCCCCTTGGTCCTAGCTCCCAGCACCTTCCTATCCTTCAGCAGCAAAGCACACTAAGAGATTTGGCCTGAGGCCTCTCCCTTCTGCAGGACGGTGGTCCCCTATGCTCGAGGAATCTTTCTCTAGCACACCTGGGCTCAGAGCCTCCCTGGGCTCAGTTGTTCCTACTGCCAAATGCCCCATGACAATGACCTATGCCTAGTGGAGGGGACTCAGGGAAGTTTCAGTGAAAGACATGCTCAGCAGTGGCCCAGGCTGCTTCTGTAACCAAGGTCTGGCAGGGTGGTGAGTCCCTGCGTGTTCAGAGAGGGCCCGTTGTGTATATCTGCCTCTTGTCACTGACTCTGTGCCAGTCCCTCAGTCCCACCACTGATTCGGAGCACAGGCTCAGTCACTGCCAGCTCTTAGTATAGTCCCAGCTGCCGTAGACCAGGTGACATTTGTTGACTGTTCTCAGAGGTGGTGAGGATTTATTCTCTTGAATCCTCTAGGAATGCAGATACAGTCCCAAGGGTGGCAGTAGGGACGGAAGATGCCAGCCATGTGCAGCCTGAGTAAACATCTGCCAGGCTTCCCTTAGCACCAGGAGGAGGCAGGGCCTGCCCTGGGGGTGGAGCCAGGTCACCCTGGTTAAACTGCAGTGATACATTTAGATGGGGTGGAGTCAAGGCCAAGGCTGGCATACAGACACCTGCGGCCTCTGGGAGACACCTGCTTGGAAGGAGGCAGCAATGGACATAGGGCCCCACCCTGAATCTGAGCTCAGGGTGCCCTGACTGCCCCTTCCCCACCCAGCTCCTATCATGCTTCTGCCTGGCCCCCAAGACTGCCTCTGTCATGGTCACTATTTATTCCTTGGTCTTTTTTCTTTTTTGTAAGAAACAGTCACATGAAAAAGAAAAAAACCCAGTGAGAAACGATCTGTTTGGTGTCCTGTTTTATATTACAAAATTTCTCTTGATATAGAATATAAAAAGGGGGGACTTGGGAGATACAGTGATAAATTAGCTCTGTTTCCTACTGCGAGGGACATTGACAAATTCCAAAATAGACTTTAGCATATGATGCATGTGTGTGTGTGTGTGTGTGTGTGTGTGTGTGTGTGTGTGTGTGTTAACAGAGTTCCTAGGGGCAAAGGTAAAGGTGCTGGGCTCAGAACCCTGGTAGGCCAGGGTCTTGGGACAGGGGACTGAGGAGCACGAGCCACAGATCTAGTCTTAGCTCCTTGCCTGTCAGATACAGCTGTCCCTTAGGCAAGTGGCTCTGGGACAGGAAAGGGCTGTTCTGCTCACTGCTCACTAATGGGTGAGGGTCTTGGATCTAGGTGAGGGTGTTGGGCCTGGGGTGAGAGGTGAAGTTAAGGGCTCCTCTCCCCTCCCCTGGGAGTACACAGAGCAGCTCACCAAGCCCCACCAGGATGTCCTAAGACAGCCTTGTAGCTGGCTACTAGCAACCTCAGAGGGTGAAGACTGTCTCTGTCTGGTCCCATGAGGATGCTATCTGAGGAGCTGGATCCACAGCTGGGTTGAATCTGGCTACTTTAGAGCACTTTACCATAAGTGTGGAAAGTTCTGGTGAGAGTCTCCGATCTACTCTGGAAATGCCTAGGCTTGATATCTGCCTTCTCAGCCCTCTCTGTCCGAGTCCTGCCGGTCTCTGGATGCCTGGGCTAGTTCTGGGTGCCAGCTGCTGTGGTTGGGCTCTGTCCTCAGCCTGGCCATGAGCTTCCAATCAACAGCTGAGCCATTTGCCTTCCTAGACAGTTCGAGTCTAGTACTACTGGGTTCTGAATCAGCCTGGGTCTTAGTTCTTCCACACTGCCTCCCTGCTGTGCCCTTGGCAGACATAATTAATCAATCTTGAGATCTGGACAGACAACACTAATGGATTCAACACGGTCCTGGCAGGATCAGGCATCTTGCAAGCAGTTGCTAACCTAGTCTTCAGTTCAAGTTTTTGTTTGTTTGTTTGTTTTTGGTGTGTGTGTGTGTGTGTGTTGTAAACCTGTTAGTCTGGGTAATCTGAGCCTAGGGAGAATAACAAAATACATGTACAGCAAAAGGTCAAAAAGTGTCATGGTAGGAGATGCTATAGGGTTAAGTCCGCAGACAAGAGGCATGACTTTAACCTCTAGGAAGGAGAGTGAAGGGGTAGAGAGAGGGAAAAATGGAAACCCCTTCTGTTTGCTGAGGTGATGATGTCAGAGCATCTGAAGGCAGGAGGCTGCATTGGGAGGTAGTGAGCTCCATATGTGGAGGTATGCAAGGGGTGAATGCTTGGCAGGGACCTTAAAGAACACATTCAAGCCTCAGCTCTGGGTAGAAAGAGAGAAATGAACAATATTGGGGGTGTCTTCCACCTGGGAGAACAGGGGTGTGGTATGGCCCACGGGGGCAGGTAATGCATCACAGTTGGATCTCTGACAGAGGTACAAGCAGGGCAGAGTGGACACAGTATGGATTTTTCTCAGCTGTAGAACTTGGTGCAGACAGTTCCTGGCCAGTTTACATTGGGGTGGAGGGTGGAGTTCTGGCTGGAGAAACAGCAGCCTGGAGATGACCTTGTCATACACATGCTGTATGACTGGATGGGCCACTGCCTTTTCCTGGGCCATGGAGAGGCTTTGATCCAAAATATGAGGAAATGAAAGAGCCACCTTCCAATCCAGTGCCCACACATAGCCACCCTCAGCCAGCAGTCAGGAGCAGGGACAGCTTCACTCTCCGGCAGATGGCGCTGCAGCCTGTCCTTGTGTTGTAAAAAGTAGTCTCCTTGGGGCCTGAGCATTAGCTTCTCCTCCAGGACGGATTTCTGCCTCCTAGTTGCTCAGATCTTGGAAATGCTAAGAGAGGGGACCCAGGCCAAAGGACACTCCAGTCTGACAGGGCCAAGGGGCTCTGAAGCTGATGAACCTTTGGTCTCAGGAACAGCTGGTCCCAGGCCAGCCCTAGGTCCTTGTAGAGCTCATGTCCCTTGCCTCAGAACTTAAGTGAGGTCCCTTCAGTTCATGTCTTTGTTTTGTTTTTTTTTAAAAAAATTAGCTCTATGCTCCTGGCCATTTAGGCTGGCCTTGCTTCCTCCCCTGGGGCCAGAGGACAGGGAAGGGAGGGGGCTGGCTTCTGGGCAGTGGTGGGCTGAGTGTCTTCAGGCCAAGGCCTACTGGATGCCCCGGAAGAGGCACATGGCAAAGATCATGAGGAAGAGCTGCAGAGAAAGGAAGAAGGTGATCTGGAGTCAGATCGGGTGCATGTCGAGGGACTACTTTAAACAGGTCAAGTCTGCCTTTCTTGGGTCGGCAGAGACTTTAAGCAAAGCATAACCCTTCTTGGGCACCTGAGTATGTACCAAGTGCTTACCTTGTAAAGTAGGTTTCTAAGTGATGTCATCAGCAGCCTCTCTACTCAGCAGGAAGTGAGGCATGGAGATATCCTACAACTTGATTTAGGTCACACAGCTTCAGTGGGGTAACCTAGCTTGAGCAGAGACACGCTGTCCCCCAGAGCCCTTGCTTCTAAGCCCCTGCCTGCACTCTCAGCTAGCTCAGAGGAAGCTGGTGAGGTTTGCAGAGGTTACAGTTCCCTAACCCTGTTCTGTGGCTACAGCGAGGCAAGGCTATGTGCACTGGACACATTCCTGAAATTTGCCCTGCCTCAGGAAGATCTGTGTGTCTCTTGTTGGTTTTAGCTCTCTCGGGAGGCTTTGTTCACTTCCACAAGTGTTGGCACATACAGCAGGGGCTCAATATATGCATTCGGAATTAGTGAATGCATGATTCCTGTACTTCCTCTGTGACTTACACAGAACTGTTATCCTGAGAGACAAGGCACATGGGGACACTGAACCATGGCACATCAGGGTGCCAGGTGACCAGAGCTTCCTTGAAAGGGTTCCCAAAGAGCAGGAGGTGAGGGCTGAATATTAGGCTGCCTGGCTTCACTGCCCCAGAGTGCATCCCTGAACTGGGCAGGGGCAGTGAAAAGGGAATGTTGAGTGGTAGCTCAAAGGTTGACAGCCACTCAGCTGTGTTCTGGGGCCCTGGGATGAAGGGTACTAAAGGGTACTCCATTGCCAAGTTAAAAAGACCCCTGAACATTTACAAAAGGCAAATTGAGAAGCCCCCCGCTTTCCTGCTCATGTACCCTGCACTTGGACTGCAGAGCTAGGGTGAGGTGGGGTGCCTCTCTGGGCCTGCCTGTTCTCATTGTTCCGGGATAGGCACAGCTCTGTAGCTTCAGGCTACAAGAATGACTCTAGCAGCAGACATCGGCAGCAGGTAGCAGCTGTGGATCTTGGAAGTAGGCTGAGTGTACAGATTTGGGGCTTCCCCGCAGGACCCCACTCACCTCAATAGCCAGTACCCCAATGGCAAAGGCTCCAGCCAGGTAGACATAAGTTTCAAAGGTGTTGAGGATCACTGTGTAACAGCCCTGGGAAGGAAAGGCCAGAAATGAAACCACAGCAGGGAGGTGTGGCCTGCAGTCAGGACCATTGTCAGCACTGAAGTTCCTGGCATTTGGCCCCAGGGCTCAACAGCTGCAGGCTGGCATTTTTATACTGATGTGGGGAAGCATCCGGTCATTGACAGAATGTTACCAACATCCCTCTCTCTGCAACATCCAGTCCCCAAGACAGGCTGAAAACTTCCCAAGGCTAACTCAGCCACAGACCTAGACTATGAGGGAATGTCTAAATACCCAGGCCTCCTGGTGCTCTTCAGAAGTGGGGATCAGACCCCCAGGGCAGAGCTGGCTGGGCCGCATCTCTTCAATCAGAATGCCAAATGGTGGCCCCGCCCCAGGTGGAACAGTAGCTCACAGAGGTCCACAGTGCCCCCAGTCCCTCTCTTGTCCTGCCTGGCTGCTGAGGGACTGGCAGCCCAGCCTCACAGGAGCAGCCCTTCATGTGACTCATGTGCCTGATGCCTCCCAAGCACTGTGAGTGACATAAAGCAGGATGAGCCAAGACCTCTCCCATTGGGCCCCAAACACATTGTACTTTGTGTCCACTGTCCCCCACTCCCATGCTGGCCACAGGCACAAGTCCCATACATATACATATTCATATATGTATACATATATATCGTATACATATACATCGCATACATATACATTGCATACATATACATCGCATACATATACATTGTATACATTGCATACATATACATCGTATACATAT